CGAGCGGGGAGTCTGTTTTAATACATATTAAATGTAGCACGTTGCAAATTGGACTTAAATAATTCAGGATTTTCACCCGCCATGGCAACGGTTCCTTTGTCCCTAAGACTCAAGTCGATCCTTAATTCATTATTAGAAATAATCTAAAGAACTTTGGGTCATCTTTCCGGTAGCAGAAAAAGGTTGTCTTTCTTTACCAGACTCCCATTATAAAAGACCAACTCTAGTTCATGATTAATCCCCTTTTAAAGGTCATTGTAGCACATTTAAATAAAGCACGAACATTCGGCCGTCTGATTGAAGCATGTCGTTCCTTTGGGCCTTTCAGATTAATGGTAGAATTCATGTCCGCAAAGGAAAGGTCCAAGATTTGGTCTCTTGCACCTTGAATTAAATACTCTGAAGTAAATAGGTTATATTGCCCAACTGTTTAATACAGGGGTCTTCAAACCTGGCCCTTTTATGACTCGTGGACTTCAACTCCCAGAATTCCTCAGCCAGCATGGCTCAGCTTGGAAACCTCTCCCTTTCCCCTCAGCGTGCCTGGCTGAGGAATTCTGGGAGTTGAAGTCCACGAGTCATAAAAGGGCCAAGTTTGAAGACCCCTGGTTTAATAGAATCACAGAATTGGAAGGGACCTTGGAGGTCTTCTAGTCCAGCCCCCTCCTCAAGCAGGAGACCTTCTACCATTTCAGACAAGTGGCTGTCCAATCTCTTCTTGAAAACCTCCGGTGTTGGAGCACCCACAACTTCTGGAGGCAAGTCGTTTCACTGATTTGTTGTTCGAACTGGCTGGAAATTTCTAGTACAAGTCTACATGCTGGCTGGGGAATTCTGGGAGTTAAAGTCCACATGCTGGCTAGGGAATTCTGGGAGTTGAAGTCCACAAGTCCACATGCTGGCTGGGGAATTCTGGGAGCTGAAGTCCACATGCTGGCTAGAGAATTCTGGGAGTTGAAGTTCACAAGTCCACATGCTGGCTGGGGAATTCTGGGAGTTGAAGTCCACATGCTGGCTAGGGAATTCTGGGAGTTGAAATCCACAAGTCGACATGCTGGCTAGACTTAAGACCCTCAACTTCAGGTGTTCAGGTGTACGACCGACCCCTATTCTGGGAGTTGAAGTCCACATGCTGGCTAGAGAATTCTGGGAGTTGAAGTCCACAAGTCCACATGCTGGCTGGGGAATTCTGGGAGTTGAAGTCCACATGCTGGCTAGGGAATTCTGGGAGTTGAAGTTCACAAGTCGACATGCTGGCTAGAGAATTCTGGGAGTTGAAGTCCACAAGTCCGCATGCTGGCTAGAGAATTCTGGGAGTTGAAGTCCACAAGTCTAAAAGTGGCTGAACTTGGACAGCTCTGGTTTAGCCTGGAAACCCTGCTTAATTTCCACAGCCAACCAGATACTTCCTGCTCCTTGCGAGGTTATATAAACCATGTAATCTAAATACACGATGAGCATTTATCTTGTTGGCAACACATTACTTTTAAGTAGTGAGGTTCTCCATCCAGTTCCAATCAAGCATTTATGTCGCTTTTGATAAAAAAGCGAAGAGGCATGGTTGAGGTGTGTGAAGCTAGTAGGTGTCAGTGAGTCATGAGTATAAAATTAGAACGGAGGATTTAGTGAGTGGATAATCGGGCATCCACAATTTTTGATCCAGACTTTCCCAGGCAGGTCCACAAATATCACATTCCACTGTTTCCAGTTTATCACAGTTTAAACATAGGAGTTAAATCTTTATATTTTTTTTAATCTATTTGCATCCCACCTTTATTATTTTTACAAACAACTCAAGGCGACAAACATCTCCAGCACACCTTCTCCCTTCTATTTTTCCCGTTAACAACCCTGTGAGGTGGGTTGGGCAGAGAGGGGGGGGGAATGGCCCAAAATCACCCAGCTGGCTTTTATGACTGAGGCGGGACTAGAACTCACAATCTCCTGATGATTGGCCCAAAGTCACCCAACTGTTTTTTTTTTTTATAACTATAGCAGGATTAGAACTCACAGTCTCCCGGTTTATTTTGTCCACAATCAGCCAACTCATGGCGAGGGCAGGATTTAGGACTGACGGGCTCCTGGTGATTGGTCCAAAGTCATCCAGCCGGCTTTCATGGCTAAGGCAGGACTAGAACTCGCTGTCTCCCAGTTTTTCGTCCTGATGCCTTAATCGCTAAACCAAACTGGCTGTATATTCTGATCATCTTATACTAAAAACAAATCTAGAGAACTAATTATTGCTACCGACCGAACCTCGGTCTGTCTCCTTTTATTCAGTGCTGCAGTTTCTTTGAAGAATTTGTTGCATAATATTTAAATGTCTGTTATTGTCGTCCCCCCCCCCCCCCAGTATTACAGTTCCCATCAGAGTTAATCAGCAGTATCAATCCATATTGTGCCAATGATATAAAGGAGAAGAGCTTCCCATTAAAAAAAAAAAATTGCACTAGCTGGATATTTACTTTAGTATGACGTGTCGAATGTTAGAAATAAAAATGACGGGCCCAAATTCTTTTCGAACCCCAGTAATATCTATTTATAGACCGAGGGATAAACTTCTTTTCTTTGGTTTATTCATGAAGACAAGTTGGTGTAATCATCCTAGCATGGCACCAAATAAAAAAATTAAGTATGCAGCTGCATAATCAATGGAATGAAATGTTGATTAACAATCCTCACCCCAATCTTGAGGAGAAATATAATTAGTAGCTGTGCTGGTATCCCAGAAGATGCGTGAATAGGTCCGTCCATTCTGAGTCACGTTGATTTATCGTGACGAAGTCATTTATATCATAAACTTTCCATTCAAAAACCTTATGAGCACAACAAGTATGTCCTGCCTCTTTTATCTCCTTTGACGGCCTCCAAGGTCCCTTCCAACTATTATTATTATTATTATTATTATTATTATTATTATTATTATTATTATTATTATTATTATTATTATTATTATTATTATTAATCATCACACAGTCAGCCAGATGTTCAGACTGGATTTGGCATTTTTGTCTACCTATCGAGTCCTCCCCAAGGACCTAGGATAGGCAGATGTGAATGTTTGATGGTATTACAGATATCGTCGCAGGATGGAAGCAGTTCCTAGTAAGGCCGCCTTTTGCAATTGACTAATAGCGAATTTGTCAATGCCGATGATGGTGTCCAAGTGGNCAGGCACTGCCACGTCCACTATCCAGACTTTTTTGTCTTTCTTATCGACAATTGTTAAGTCCGGGGTGTTATGTTGCAGGTGCTTGTCTGTTTGAATTCTGAAGTCCCAGAGCAGTTTAATTTTATCATTTTCTATGACTTTCTCTATTTTATGATCCCACCAGTTTTTGCTTACAGGCAAATGATATTTCTTGCAGATATTATTATTATTATTATTATTATTATTATTATTATTATTATTATTATTATTATTATTATTATTATTATTATTATTACTGCGACTGTCATAAACATGAGCCAATTACCAAGAGTCCAAATTTTGATCATGTGACCTTGGGGATGCTGCAATCCAAGCCTGAAAAACAGTCATAAGTCACTGTTTTCCGTGCCGTTGTAATTTTGAACGGTCATTAAATTAATTTTGTAAGTCAAGGACTACCTATACCTGGGGTAGGCAACCTTGGCTCTTTTATGACTCGTGGACTTCAACTCCCAGAATTCCTGAGCCAGCATGGCTCAACTTGGAAACCTCTCTCTTTCCCCTCAGCGTGGCTGGCTCAGGAATTCTGGGAGTTGAAGTCCACGAGTCGTAAAAGAGCCAAAGTTGCCTACCCCTGACCTATACTCATCCCCCAGAATCTAAATTAATTTATTTTCTTTATTTAGGCCTTTATTTATTTTGACTTGATCTGTTCTTAACTTATATCATTTGTGCCAGTTATTGAACTAGCCATCCATATATTTTTGTGTCTGTTGCCAATACGCAGCCATACTGTGTATTTCTCACGTTGTCGATAAAGCAAATGATTCTAAAAGCTGTTACCTGTTTTAATAAGATACATGTTGCCCTAAATAATTTTTCCCCCCCCAGTCCTCGCAGTTCTGTTTGTGCAGGTTGTTGCCGACGTTGTCGACGGCTTGATTCTTAGCAGGTTCTAAGATAATGAAATTAGCCGCGCTACGAATACATGCACAACATTAATCAACAATATCTTCTACAGCACAATCCAAATTGTGCCTGGTGAACCTGGAGGAAACATGGCATAATTTTGGCTTCCCTTGGGTTGATAATCTGATTTTTCCTTCTCCTACACATAATCACTTTAATTTCTACCAGCCCTCTTGTCTTGCTTTCCCTCCAGCTTGTTCATTAAATTCTGAATAATTGCATAATCAAAGCAGAAGTGCACTCTCTGAAAATTTATGCCACAAAACCTAGGATTACCTTTCGGTTTCTACATCGATTGTTATGGCATAATTTTTTCCGACGATGAATGCAAACAAGAAACTAATTTGTGTTTTTTTCCCCCACAAGCAAGATTTGAACCGTGGGGGCAATTGGCCTGCTTTTTATACTTTGACCGTTTAACAGACTATATCCAGAGTTTGAAAGACTTGGTGACAGAGAGTCCTCGACTTTCAACCATTTGTTTAGTGACCAACTCAAGTCACAGTGACATAGAAAAAAAGTGACTTATGACTGTTTTGCACACTTAGGACTTTTGTGGTTATGTGATCCAAATCTGGACACTTGGCAACTGACTCATAGTTATGACGGTTGCAGTGTCCCGGGAGGTCATGTGATCCACTTTTGCGACCTTTTGACAAGCAAAGTCAACGGGGAAAGCGAGATTCACTTAACAACCGGGTTGCTAACTTATCAACTGCAAGGATTCACTTAACACACGATGTAAAACAAAACCATCTGAGTAGGAAGCAATATTTTATTATAGGAGCTTGGAAGAAGTGCTAGACCGTTAAAGGTAAATCTCTTGCTAAAAACTGATTAATCATTTCTTCTTAAGCCTTGATTTCTTTGTCTCTTGCAGAATCCTACTCAGGAAGGAACCGCACTTCAGGTTTTCTACAATCTTGGAACCTTAAAACCTACAATTGCTAATGTTGTCGAGGGCTATTGCGCTGCCTTGGAAGAAAATGTCAGCAACGCTTTGGATTTTAAAGTTCTGACTCAGCCTTCTCAAGCCGCAAGAGGTACCCTAATATACTTTTGGCATATTAGACCAGGGGTCCCCAACCCTCTGTCCGTAGACCGGTACCGGGCCACGACGTGCCAGCAACCAGTCCACACAAACAAGCAAAGCCCCATCCGTGGGATGCAGGCAGCACGTGAAACCAGGCCCCCTCCGGTCCGTGGGAAAACCTTTCTACACGGAACCGGTCCCTGGTGCCCAAAAGGTTGGGGACCTCTGTATTAGACAAAACCATGCTTCGTAATTTGATAGATTCCCCATCAATGGGACATACAGGTAGTCCTCGATTTACGAGCGTTCTTTTAGCGACTAGAACGGTTCTTTAAAAAAAAAATAGAACATGGAATATCTGCGAATCCAGTCAGAGCCGAAGAAGCTTCTGGGATGAGAAGCGAAACGTCTTCAAAGAAAAACAAGTCCAGCTGCCTCCTGAAAAAAAAGCACTTTTGGGACAATGTAAACTTCAACTCCCAGAATTCCTCAGCCAGCCACGCTGAGGGGAAAGGGAGAGGTTTCCAAGCTGAGCCATGCTGGCTGAGGAATTCTGGGAGTTGAAGTCCACAAGTCATAAAAGGGCCAAGTTTGAAGACCCCTGCTTGTGGACTTCAACTCCCAGAATTCCTCAGCCAGTGTGCCTGGCTGAGGAATTCTGGGAGTTGAAGTCCACAAGTCATAAAAAGGGCCAAGTTTGAAGGCCCCTGCAGTAAACGTTGAATTCACGTCGCCGGGATTTTGACGGGTGCCTCTCCTTTTAGCTAATAAAATATCCCACATTCCGGAGAATACATTATACCGAAACCGCTTGTAATCTTAGCCTTTAATCCGACATCAAATATTGATGAAGGAAAAAAAAAAAGGAATTACACACTGTGGAGGCTTTGACATTTTAGTGCGAAAAGCAGTTAAATGCAATATCGCGCTCAATTATTAATGCAGTTAAAGATACCCTTCTTACAATTTGAACCGGAATTTATGATTGCAGAGCGAGAAAAAAATAACGGTGTCACTTAACTTTGTAACTGGGAACCAGCAGGGACTTTCTAGAGCGGTGGTGGCGAACGTCTGGCACGCGTGCCACAGGTGGCACGCAGAGCCCTCTCTGTGGGCACGCGGGCCGTCGCCCCAGTCCTAGGCCTTCAGCTGGGTTTTATAAAACCTTTTCGCTTTAGGCCTCCACCGCCTCCGTGTGCAAAAAAAAAAAAAAAAAGGCTCAATCAATCAACTTCTCGCGGGGAAAAAACAGATCTCGCAAAACTGGAATTGATTGATTGAATTTTTAAGTCCCACCAGTCTGCCATTACCACCGCAGCCACGCCCATCCAATAGGCCATGCCCACCCAATTGGCCACACCCACCCAATGGGTCACACCCACTCAAGGGCCACCCCACCCGGCACCCGACAATACTTAAGTGGGTTTTGGGTTGCAGTTTGGGCACTTGGTCTCTAAAAGGTTCGCCATCACTGATCTAGGAGGTCCTGGCCGAGCAGCTATGCCCACCCCAGGAAACACCGCAGCCTTCCGAGCAGCTCTCTGGACCAACATGGAAAAACTGATGGATCAGATCTGTGCAGCTTGTGGACAGGTATGTGGTCCCTCAAACATCCTTTCCTTGGTTTGAAGCCTCCATAAAACATCTCAAGAACTTGGACTTCAGATCGCGCGTTGTTATTTTTTTTCCAGGTGCAACATCTGCAGAAGGTCTTGTTGAAGAAAAGAGATCCGGTTACCCACGTGTGTTTCATTGACGAATTGGCAAAGGTAAGATTTCTAGCTTTGCTCTCCGCCGAAATACGGACAGTCCTCAGTCGAGCCCAGAATTTATGTTGCTAAGCAAGGCGGTTGTTAAGTGGGTCTGGCCTCATTTGACAATCTTCCTTGCAACAGTGGTTAAAGTGAATCGCTGCAGGTGTGAAGTGAATCGCGGGACTTTGCTTGTGGGAAGCCAGCTGGGGAGGTTACAGATGGAGATCGCGTGACCCAGGGACAGGGCAACTGTCATAAATTACAAGTCAGTTGCCAAGCATCCGAATGTGGACCATGTGACCATGGGGATGCTTCAACGATGGCTACTTGTGGAAAACCGGTCCCTTTTTTCAGTGCTGTTTGCTCACACTGAGAGCTTATGCACCAGAGACAAATTCCTTCTGTGTCCAATCACATTTGGCCAATAAAAAATCTGTTCTGTTTCTCTTCTCTTCTATTTCTCTTCAGTTTCTCATTCAGTTCTATTTTCTATTATTTTTCATTCCATTCCTTTTTATTCTATTACATTCTATTATATTCCACTCCACTCCATTCCATTCTATTCTATTCTATTCTATTCTATTCTATTCTATTCTATTCTATTCTATTCTATTCTATTCTCTCCATTTCATATTCTATTCTATTCTATTCTATTCTATTCTATTTATTCTCTCCATTTCATATTCTATTCTATTCTATTCTATTCTATTCTATTCTATTCTCTCCATTTCATATTCTATTCTATTCTATTCTATTTATTCTCTCCATTTCATATTCTATTCTATTCTATTCTATTCTATTCTATTCTATTCTATTCTCTCCATTTCATATTCTATTCTATTCTATTCTATTCTATTCTATTTATTCTCTCCATTTCATATTCTATTCTATTCTATTCTATTCTATTCTCTCCATTTCATATTCTATTCTATTCTATTCTATTTATTCTCTCCATTTCATATTCTATTCTATTCTATTCTATTCTATTCTATTCTATTCTATTCTCTCCATTTCATATTCTATTCTCTTCTGTTCTGTTCTCTCCATTTAATATTCTATTCTATTCTATTCTATTCTATTCTATTCTATTCTATTTATTCTCTCCATTTCATATTCTGTTCTGTTCTATTCTATTCTATTCTAGTCTAGTCTATTCTATTTCCTATCTTGTCCTGTCCTGTCGTATCCTATCCAATCCTATCCTGTCCTATCCTATCCTAAACAAAGGGTTGTAAGTCATGCTATCTGTTCATGCTTACAAAGACATATAATCATTTTTTTTGTATTTATTGGCAAAGAAAGGGAATAAATGCTTTATGACAGCAAAAGGTATTCCTGAGGAAGACCCAGAGGTAAAAAAAAATATTGCCGGATACTTCGAGAGGTATGGAGTGATAACCATTGCCCAAAGCTTACAGAACCATTTTAACTGCACACCTGGCGATCAAAACAGCGCCTGTTTAACGTCGCCAGGCGAAATGAGTCAGTTTTTGCTTCGCGCTGGTTGTCACAGCGTGGTTTTTCTGAAATTCAACTTGACAAGGTGGAAGATTTTCCCTGGCAGCTTTCGATGGGTAAGGAATGGTAAAGCAGAATTTCCACCTCCCATTTCCCCCCCCCCTCACCAGTCCTGTTACAAGTGGGTGAACAGCAGATTGCAGTCACCAGATAAGCATCTGGAGGGGGTGTTTACTGTCTCCCCCAATTTTTCTGGAATAACAGAATAACAGAGACCCTCAGGAATGATTTTTTTGGGAAGGGGGGTCTTGTAAGGAAAGGACAGCCACATGGGGAAAAAAAATTGCATCGCCCTGCCCGTTCAAGCACGACACCTTTTGGGGCCAAACGGCTGTGAGTGGCTGTTTTTTTAAATTTAATTCAGGGGTATTCAACCTTGACATTTTTTATGACTCGTGGACTTCAATTCCCAGAATTCCTGAGCCAGCTTAGCTGGCTCAGGAATTCTGGGAGTTGAAGTCCACGAGTCATAAAAGAGCCAAGGTTGACTACCCCTGATTTAATTTAATTTTGTTTTAGCGGAAAAGGGCAGTTAAGACAATGCAATAAATGCCGTGTGGCTTGATGAATTGGTGTTGTTATACATCCGTCTCTCGATTCAGCCATCTGTTTTTTGTTTTGAAGTTTTGTCTTCCAAATAATTACGGCCTGCTGCACCTCCGATAGGAACACCTTTTGTCACCTGTTGTTTTCCCTTGTTTTAGAATCTTATTTAGGAGCGCTTGATGACTAGTTTTCCCAAGGGCCAAGGATGGCGCAGGTAATCCTCGACTTAACAACAGTTCGTTTAGTGACCGCTCAGCGTCGCAACAGCACTGGAAAAAAAAAAGGGACGGCCGTTTTTTCACACTTGCGACACGGGCAATGAAAAAAGTGACTTACGACATTTTTTTTTTCACATTTAACGACCGTTGCAGCATCCCCCTGGTCATTTGATCAAAATTCAGACCTTTGGCAATTGTTTCGTATTTATGACGGTCGCAGGGTCCCAGAGTCATGGAATCCCATTTTGTGACCTTCTGACAAGCAAAGTCGGTGGGGGGAAGCCAGATTCACTTAACAACCGTGCTACAAGGAGAACGTGCCTAACAGCGAGGACAGTTAACCAGTGGAACAAGAATGACCCTGCAAAACACAACTTTTACTCCTGAAATAAAGTCAGGCTTCCCCAATCTTTTCTAAGTTAAGGGCATGAATACGATTGACACGATAAACCTATTATCTTCCAGTTTAATCTCCAAATACTCTGATCCTGAGCCAGGGAAGCCATGGGAAGATTTAAGATCAAGCTAGCCATCCAAAAATGGATCAGGAGTGAGTACGGCCCATATAAACTCAGGAATAATATAATCATATGATGCACAGGTGCTCAAACTACAAATTCTGTTTTTAGAAGCGGATTCAATCCCTCTTTTCTTGTTCTTCTCTCCCAGTTTTGTTCCTGACTCTCATTTTTGGTTCAGGTTCATGTTGCGTTCTGTTCATTTAGTACATTTTTGGAGCGAGGAGTCTGGATTGGAACCCACATTCACGCGGCACTACACCATTACCACCGAGAATTAATTAGGAAGAGGTATATAATAATGTAAAAAGTACCGTTGGCGGTCTCTTATGTTGAAAATGTCTTTTTATTCCTCCCCACCTCCCCACCCCCCGTGGAAAACATAAAAGCAAATGGGAAGGCAGTGTCTTAAGCAGATGGGAGAGACACTTCATGTGCCATCTGTTTAAAAAAGTAGAAGCTGTAGGAAAAAGTACTTTGGGGAGAGCTTGTAAGTGGCACATTTAATATCAATATATGTGTTCAGTTACAGTAAATGCAGCTTGTACGTTGTAGGTCGTGCTCGGCTTGTTGTTGTTATTCTTGTTGTTAGTTGCGATGTCGTGTCTGACCATCGCGACCCCATGGACCACGTTCCTCCAGGCCTTCCTGTCCTCTACCATCTTCTGGAGTCCATTGAAGCTCACGCCTACTGCTTCAGGGACTCCATCCAGCCACCTCATTCTCCGTCGTCCCCTTCTTCTCTTGCCCTCCATCTTTCCCAGCATCAGGCTCTTCTCCAGGGAGTCCTTCCTTCTCATTAGGTGGCCAAAGAACTTGAGTTTCAACTTCAGGATCTGGCCTTCTAAAGAGCAGTCGGGGTTGATCTCCTCTAGGACTGACCGGTTGGATCGCCTTGCAGTCCAGGGGACTCGCAGGAGTCTTCTCCAGCACCAGAGTTCAAAGGCCTCCATTCTTTGGCGCTCAGCCTTTCTTATGGTCCAGCTTTCCCAGCCATACATTGCAGCTGGGAAATCACGTGACCCCAGGACGCTGCAACCGTCACAAATATGAGTCCGTTGCCACATGACCATGGGGATGCTACAATAGTAAGTGTAAAATAACCAGTCATAACTATGTTATTTTTTTCAGTGCCACTGTAACTTCAAACAGTCACTAAATGAACTTTAGTGTAAGTTGAGGACAAATGTATAAAATTCCAGGGGAATTTTTTTTTTTTACAGGAAGAAACAAGCAAACGTTTTAAAAAGGGTATTAAAAAAGACACAAACACAGATGCATTTAATATCCCCCTTCACTGAATACAGATGAATGTATGGAACAATATTAGTTACCCACCCCTTACAGAACAGCCCCGCCCACATATAATAATAATAATAATAATAATAATAATAATAATAATAATAATAATAATAATAATAATAATAATAATAATAATAATAATAATAAAGTTGGAAGGGACCTTGGAGGTCATCTAGTCCAACCCCCTGCTCAGGTAGGAAACCCTATACCATTTCGGACAAATGGCTGTCCAGTCTCTTCTTAAAAACTTCCAGTGTGGGAGCCTTCATCGCTTCTGGAGGCAGGTAGTTCCACTGGTTAATTGTTCTAACTGCCAGGAAGTTTCTCCTTAGTTCTAGATTGCTTCTCTCCTTGATTAGTTTCCATCCGTTGCTTCTTGTCCTGCCTTCAGGCGCTTTGGAGAATAGCTTGACTCCCTCTTCTTTGGGGCAGCCCCTGAGATATTGGAACACTGCTATCATGTCCCCCCTCGTCCTTCTCTTCATTAAACTAGACATACCCAATTCCAGCAACTGTTCCTTATATGTTTTAGCCTCCAGTCCCCTAATAATCTTTGTTGCTCTTCTCTGCACTCTTTCTAGAGTCTCAACTAATTTTAAACTGATAATTCTATTTGCAAATTATCAACCTGTCATCTATCTACTACTTTAATGGCAAAATAGTTCATGGGCAAGAGTAAACTGACAAGCATGAAACAAACAAGCAAAAGGCAAGAGTAGTATGTCAAAATCCTGTTAGTAAATTATCGTTGTATTCAACTCGTAGAAAGTTTACTACAGCTTCTTATCGGTTCCTTCTTCTCTGATGTTGCACAGCAATTTGGAATTGCACAACATTTGGAATTGCTGAATCAACAGCCAAAATGTAGACATGCTTGACAAAAGCAGTTCTGAGTGATTGAGGGAACCAATTG